CCCTACTCTATGATCTCATATCATCTATCACATTCTGCTGTATATTAATAATTATGTTTGTACATGCCCTTCTATTCTCCTAGAATATGAACTCAGAGAGAGCAGCAATGCAGGCGTTTTCAAATTTGTAACTCCTCAGAGCTGAGAACAGTCCATTTTTAGACTATAGGCATTCAATGTGGTTTTGTGGAATTAAAAGAAATGGAAACAGCAACCCATTTTCCCAAAATGTTTGATATTTTCCTTTTTAAATAAGTACCTCTATGAGCCCATGCAGACATTCATTTAGCATTTGTCAATTGTGCTTTTCAGCAAGCCTTCTACCACTGCCAAAATTCTAAGGTGAAATTCAAATTTGAGGACTGCTTATCAGGATCCTGGGGTTCTGCTAAGCAATGTCAAAAGCTGGCCAATTTCTAATTCAGGCAACTTTCTTCAATAATGTAGTCTAAAGGCTCACAGGGCTTTCTTTAACAAAGCCAGAGTAAGCCCACAGAGCTACGATGCAAAGGATGGGCTCATACATCATATGGGCTTTACTGCCAAGCAGAGTTCACTGTATTCACCCTCAGTACAGCCCTGCCATTCATTTCCACTCTGTTTCAGAAAAGAGAAGCAAGTATAGTTAGAGAGACCAAAGAAACCAAAAGGTTATAGGTATACGCATCAAAACGTACTGGTCAGCCTTGCACTAGGAAATGCCTTCTGTACCTGGTCAGTTTTATGGTTTTCCTGAACTCATTAGTAATCGGAGCTTTGTATCCTCCTTTCCTCAGTAAGGAGTCTATGGTCTGAATATGGTCCCATCCTGTGGAGAGCAGACCAGATAAAATACCAGTCAAGCACATGTAACAAGCACTTTTGGTTAAATACAAAATGACTGTAGAGGTCAGCTATCACTGTCACCGACCCCTTTGGTCCTAAAAACAGTCACACAGAAAAGCTAAGATTTCATCCTGTACAGAAGAGGGACACCACGGCACACCTTAAATTCTAGCTAGCCCTGCTGGCTGGCAACACTGGCTTCTTTATCTCAACCGCATTCGAAGGCAAAGAGCCTAAGAGGCTGGCGGGCAGTAACTGCTCGGTCGTGTCTCGGTAACAAGCCACAAACACTGTACTCTCCTCTAACGGTGACATCTTTAAAAGGGAAGGAAAAGCCTCACTGAGCCAACTCAGTAGTACTTAGGACTCCCACACTAACTCATGGTAATCGCCATTGCTAACCGTATCTTCTGCAGGCTATCAAGTGCATCTGTGTGCAGCGTTCAAAGGCATTTTTATGGGTTCTGACACGGGATGCACACTCATACCCGAGGCCCTCAACCTCTTATGTATGTTTTACAGAGTCAGTGGAACTACAGAATTAAGAAATTTTCAAAAGCAACCCAAATAAATCTGCAGATAGCTGCTTTAAAGACTAAGGCTCTCATTTGGGGGTTTAATGATATTAAATTTTGTAGTTATATATCATATTTGTATGAAACAGATATGGAAAAACCAAATCACCAATGCTTTCTGATGAGAAGAAAAGCTCCATGAGATAAAGAAGAGGTATTCATTTCAACTAACATGAAACTATAATTCAGTAGTGGCTAGAAAGGACAAGATACTACAGAGTGAAACGTTATTTTGTGTTACCCTGGTAGTTCAGAAAGGTTTGTGCTATATCTGTAAAATCGAAAAACGTTTGTTGATTAGGAACACATAAAACACTAATAGTTCATGTATTCTCAATGCTCCTTTTCTTCATGGGACACTTACAATCTTAATAGTAGCAGAAGGAGTAATGGCAGCCACCTAAGAAGGAAACATTTGATACTGACAATGAACGGTGTGGCTGACGGTCAAACTAAAGGCTTGTTTATGCCACAAGGCTACAGCCCAGTGGAATATGGGAAAATGGCACTTAAAATTCATAGCAAACCATCGCCTAAAATAAAGCCCAACTTTTACAAATCTATGCTTTTTTTGAAAGTATACTTTTATATGTTTTTGCTGCCAAACTTCAGTGCAGAGATTCAACTTCTGTGTAATTCACCGATTTCATACAGACATTGCAGTGGCAGCGATGGAAGAGTCATTTCTTATAATCTGACAGTGATCGATTACCAGATATAACTGCAAGGTCAGATAGCGCCATTTCAATATGTATTATTTGTTTAAATTCTTCACTAGATCATATGAAATAAAGTACAACAGTGACCTTGCTCCTTTGCAACCTCCGGTAGGTAGGTGGCGGTGCGTTTTGATCCTTTTTCATTGATGAATTCTATTCTAATGCCATGTACACCCACCTGAAAGAAATTGGCAGTTTTATTAGTACAGTCTTCTTCACAGAAACAGAAAGAAAAAGTTATAATTTAACTTTCAGAGAATGCAGTTCTTCCTTTCCCCTTGCTTTTGGAAGGGCATATCTGTTTTCTCTTTCCGAAACACTGACTTTGAGGACTGAAGGCCATTATGATGGCCATGGAGACTTGAAAACACTGATTTTTGCATGTGCCCAGCATGCACCGGGCTATGCCATTCTGTTTGGAACCAGGACCACCATTCTGGGGCTGTGTGTAGAATACGACAATCGATGATGGCAAGAGTCCTGCCCCCACCCCCAAGTTGTGGCTCATGACAATAAGGAACTAGACCAAGGGAACCGACTTCAGAGAGATAGCAAGCAACCATCCTGCTTTCGGGGATAATCACCATTTCAGATTGAGTTTCAAAACTTCTGGGACTGCTGACTCTCTTCCCAAACTGTCTAGTCTCTTTGAAACCTTGAATTATATGTAGATAAACACAGATAAGACTGAAAAAAATCTAACAATCAGATCCTGCATCGTCACCCATTACGGCACTTCTAAAAAAATGTATTATGGCTTAAAGTGCGCAGGCGGCAAACCCTCACTGTATTATCTACAACACTGCTGCCAAATCCGAGAGCAATAAAGATTTTAAATGACTTTGGGGCAGGGCATTTTTACACAGTTTCTTATATACTAACCCAGAGACCACTATAACTTTATTATGTGAAAGACAAACTTTTGATGGTACCCTAAAAAAGGTGGTCTCCTAAGTAAGTGTGGGCAATTTCTTGCTAATGTTTTAAGAAAGTAATCTACTTTTTCTTTGATTAGCATTCAATCAAAAGGAATCTGTCCTTTCCCGTCATGTCTCACATAGAATACTGTATAGTGCTAAAGATCACAAAAAGTTCTTGTCTTCTTTATATACATTGATAACAAAAATGACATTTCAAAAGTATAACAACTCCATTCTGCTCTCCCAAATCTATGGTTGCTTTAGATCAAGGGTTCCCAGGTGGAGTTTAAGGTTGTCCAAGGTCCCGGAGGGAAGATGTTAAGACCAGGTAAACATTTTTACCAGAGAAAGGGGATTCTTTTCAGAGCAGGTGGCTATATCCATTCATCTGTACGGAGGTAAAGGTCTAGAAGAGGAAAAGGGGTCCATGAAAACTTCTTTTGTTTCTTCTGCGCTTAGCCTGAAATTTCCCAGTTTTTCAGGGAATCAGAAGTCCTCTGGAAAATCCATTTTATTTCTTCCCCAGGTCTTCACACATCCATCCACTAGAGTCTGCCAGATCTTATGAGTAGTTGATGTTTTTTTATTAAAGCCTATCTCTGTGGCTATTTCTTCTACCTAATATCAGTATTCTTATGAATATCCTTCTGCTGAAAATGCAATCAGGGCAGCTGTTTAAAAACTAACACAGTAAGGCCTCTCGTACCCTGTGGGAAATGACTACGGACAGCTGAGAAGAAATATGAGTGCTTAGCTATCAGGCATTTCCAGGATAAAGGACATCTACTAATCTCCCTAGTGCCTGACACGTTATGGAGACAATGACAAATTTGCAACAGTTTCTGTATACTGACTTTCTGATCAGTGACTTTGAAATTTTTTCCTTCAACAATATTAGATCCTTCATAATTTGTTTTTAAAAACATACGGCATAAATAATTTATGCTCCCATCATTCACTGAGGTGAATTCTGCAACTTCAACTCAATGTATCAAAAATCTGTCATGTTAAAATTGAAAAGAGTTTTGGTGTTTATTAAGGTGTCTCATCTAAACTGTGAGAGGAAGACTGTTTCCCTATCTGTGAGATGAGAATGTTAGACTCAATCAGTGCTGTTTAATTGGTATGGGGTCGGGGTGCGGGCTGCAAAGGTTATCAGAATTTCAGGTTTCCTACTTCAGCAAGTATAGTTTGTAAAAAGAATAACTCCCCAGGTGATCTTTATTCCGGGTTAACTAGATAACCTCTAATAATCAGTCTTGCTCCAACAAACTGTGGCTAAGTATTGGGGGAAAAAAAGTGATTTAGGCAAATTGGAGGTGATTTAGACATAAATCCTTTCTTCATAGGAGTACATTCTGTGCTATTCAACAAAAATGACAGACTTCTGAAGCCTAGTAATTTAAAAATGAAAAGAGGTTAAGACCAATTGCATGGTATGCAAATAATACCTTAATAAAGATATATGCATATGAAGAGGTTAAGACCAAACTGGAAGGACATGTTGACCAAAATAAAAATTACTCATGGATAAAATTGATTTACTGTTGTATTTTGAGAAGGCCCCACCATGAAATCTGACATGAAAAAAATTACCCAAATTCCCCCATTTTGAATTAGTACCACATTTACAATTTTTAATTCTTTTCTGTGTTCCTACAATTCTGAACAATCGAAAGCCCCTGTAAATTGCATTGTAGGTATGGTGATATTCAAGTGATTCCTTTGTGAGAAATAACTTATTTCATAGGTCAAAAATATACTCCACAGACATATAAAGCCAAAGCCAGAGTGACTCTTTTTTTTTTTCAACTAGTGGAATCAGGAGAATGGTAATAATGTTCTGAACAGAATCAAAGTATAATATAGCCTTTTGTCACCTGTTGAGCAACAGCATCTCGCTCCCAGAACCACAGACGCCACCAAGTAGTCATACTGCGCAATCAAAACAGGAGAGTGGAAAATGGCCTGCTGTGGAGACTGACCCAATCTGGCCAACTTGTGGAAATCACTGGCTTTGCAAATTAAGTCATCTCCACTGAAATGAGCACCAAAACTAATTCTGTACTGCTGGAGGGAGGCATCTGTCACAGCTGCAACTCCAAAATGGAACCCTCATGTATAATAATTGAATCCTCCCTTCAACAGACTGGAGAATCCTTCAGGCCAGCAGCATCCCAAGAGACAAAGGCTCTAGCTGCAATGATCAGCTAGATAAGAGATCAGCTAACCAGGGGTCTGGGATTCCTTGAGGCAAACTTGCTAGAAAACCCTATCGCAGTAACTTTCCATTTCTCAGGATGGATAAGGAGTTAGCATATGGGAAAACTATGTCACCAAACACCCCTAACCACCACTGCCCAAAGTACAGCCAGGTGAGCAAAAGCTGGAGACGTGCAAATCTAGCCTTATCGGGAGTCTTCAGGTCATTTTCAAAATTATTAGAAGGTCTGGGGAGAAAAATGCTTTCAAGGTCCATCAGCTGTGATAATGTCCTTTTAATCAAGACTGTACTTTTGCTAAGCAAAGCTATAAATCAACTTGAATGGTAGCAAATTAAATGTAGGACTTATAGATAAGAGGATATGGAATTAAACAGAGCTGTATCTGTGTGTGCTGTGAGCGAACATTAAGAGCAGTTCAACAGATTCCTATTTCATGTTAAAAAGAAAGCCATATTTATTCCGAACCTTTCCAAAGCAAGTGATTTTTATTAATGCTATTATACAATCTTTTGTTTTTAACATCACCCAGAATGATTAAATATCAAGATTAATGTTAGGACCCTAAAATATATCTCGATTATTCTGGAGTTGATTATTCAGTGTGGGGATTATGCATCCCCAACTCCCCCTGGCCTCGGCCTCATCCTCTTTCCTCTCTTGTCCATCTCTCTATTTGTTCACTGCTCTATCAGAGAGCATGTGGGCACAGGGAAAAGAGATACACGCAAATTAATCAATTTTGCTACATAGTAAAAAGGTTTGGTAGGAGAAGAGATTATAAATAATGGCTAAAATGAAGCTTCTAGACTGTCTGCAGATTTCATTTATCCTTGTCATCTGGCCCCTTGTTAGAAATGTGGCTTCATTTAAAACTATTACCCCCTAATGCAGTGATTCTCAACGCAGGAACATTAAAAATAAGTGTCCTCTCCTTCCTCATTATAATACATAGCCCATATTATGCTCTGCTCAATTGCACAAAGTTTAAAACACCCTAGCCTGTCTATAAGGCAAGTGTTAGTCCTATAATTCACTAGCAGCACTACAAAAGGGTCTCGCTTTTACTTGTGAGCCTAATCAGCAAGCCAACAATCTGGATATGCTGAAACATGAAAAAGTCATCTGACTAAAAGCATCAGTGAGTATAAAATGTGCTCTGGTTAAGTGGAGTAGGCTTCACGCAAGCCTTGGACCATTTGGGTCCCCAATTACCTACACGGTCCTGACCCTCAAAGCTAAATCTGCCCCTGATCACATCCTGGCCAATAAAACCAATTTACTTCCTCAGGTTCATCCTGTCTTAGCAATGTCACAGTTAGGCCCACTCGTCCCCATTTTCAGAACCAAATGTTGGGTTTCCCTGTAACGTTATGGCCATAGCTCACTCCACTGATTTTTAGTGGGTTCACCGTGAATAAAATAAAAAATATCAGGAGGTCAAAGTATCAAACGTTTGTCTGACATGGCTTTGTTGCTGATATCATTTGGCAAAATAGGCTTTGCAATTAACAAAGCAGCCAGTCGCTGGTCATTCATGTAAGACCGACCTGCCAGGTTCAGTATGCCAGTTCCATTGAATTGAAATGCAAGGACTCTGTTTCTAAGGAGAGGGCACCCCCTAACTTCTAGAGGCTGGCATCATAGGAGACACACATGCTCTCTCACAAAACAGCCTGTGGTACCATGGAGAGAAACAAACACTGCACTGGACAACCCATGGGTCTGACCCAGAGTCTGGTGTTTCTAATATTTGTAGGAGGACAAAGCCACAAGTGATATTTTTGCCTGAAAGCACAAAACCCATAACGCAGCACCTTCAACTCATTCACTCACAGCCCCACAGTACCTTTTGCCCCATCCCCAGCTCAGCCTTCTGCAGACTGACTCTTCCTCTTCCCAATGAAAGCAAATTCCACATAAAAGAAGAAAATACTCCAAACTTGGGTCTCCACCAAGAATAGTTCTTATTTGAGCAAGTAAAATTAGCATTTTCATCATAAAGGCTGATGACAATTTGCACAGATCCTAATGAA